GCGGAGAGATGAAGCGAGGCGCAGAGTTCTCCGTGTATCAGGGAGGAAGTCCAGCGAGACGCCCTCCAAATCCTCCTCCAGACAACCTGAACCTGAGGGTGAAACAGCGTTCTCTCACTAACCTCACCCTCTTGAGTGATGGCGAGCAGCGAGTTTATTCCTTCGAGCTGGACGACACACAACCTCGGATCTCCAAACCTCACAACTCCTCTTCGTGGTTCTCGCCCTCTAGCCTGCAGGGGAGCCCCAGGAAAGAGGTGGTCACCAGGGGGGGAACAAGAACTCGATCTCTATCGCTTTCTCTCACAAAAATGCTTTCTCAATCGGAGCACTCTTTAATCCCCGTGCCGTGGAGGTGCACAGGTGGGCGGAAAGAACGGGCGTCGTACAGCGGACACTCGAGGACTGAATCGGCACGGACTTCCAGGGAAGTGGAGGAAAAGGAGGAAGAGGGTGGTTCAAATGAAGAGGGGAAGAAGAGGGGGAAGAAGGACGATGGGGATTGGGCGGAGGAAGAGGTTTCGGAGGGAGGGCGAAGAGAGGGAGCGGCTCAGCTGGATAAAGAGCTGATCCTCACCATGCTGGGCGACCTGGAGCAGGTGCTGCACACGGAGACACGCCCGCGTAAGTCAACGCAGGCCGAAAACTGAAGGAAAGGGCATGACGGTGGAAGTCATTACATAGATGTATATGATTTGGAGATTACATGCCTCAAACATGAAGGCAATACTATAAGTAAACCTATTGAAAAGGCGTTAGTTGGAATAAGAACATTTGTAAGTTGTCTCGTGAACATTTTCTGAGAATAACTTTGTATGGAAATCGATCTGTTGCTACTACGAGTTTTACTTTCAATAGTAACTTTTAATGGCACATTCCTACGGGGATATGTTTGGCTTGAGCACTCTCCAGACTTTGTTGAATAAGTACAGAATTAGAACAACAGATAAAGAAGTTTGTGATGTTTTGATAAATTAGTTTGTACAGGCAGTAGAAATAACTAGTGACTAGGTTTTGGTTTTAAAAAAAAAGCAACTTTAAGCAGAGCATTTAAATGTCGAAGCAGAAGAAGCCTTAAATAAACTGGATATTTGCTTAATCCTCACAATGGGGGAAACCATTTCTGACGGCTTATTATTAGCATTTGAAGGCGTTTGTGAGACAAGATTGTAAACGCACCAACTGCAAAGGACACAGGCAGATACAAAGATCCCTTTAACAGGCACACACCCTTTTTTTTGCCGTCCCACAGTCTCCATATAGGCTGAATTAAGCAGCTACAATCCAACCTACTGTCCAGGTAGCTTGTCGTAAAGCACCTGTAGCTCGAAATCTCCATGGAGTTTGTGCTTTTATAATGAGCACATGTGTTCAAATATGGCTCTTTTTTATAGATGTTACAGGAGAGATGATGTTTGCAATTGTACAGATAAAGGAAAGTAACACTATATTGTAAGCAGGTTGAGGAATGCTGCAGTAAAAAGAATAAATACCTTGCAATATATGTTGGAAAATCAACAACTCACCCACTGTTCCTCTGCCTGTGAGTCACACAGCCAACTTGATCAATAGCTTATTATTATATCTTTGTGTGAGTGTGTGTGTGTGTGTGTATCTGTGTGTATGTGTCTCTGTGTGTGTGTGAGAGCCATTTACATCCTTAAACAACCCTTTTACCGAGTCATTTGGCTTCATAAGTACCTAGTTGCTGTTGTGGCAGTTTGAGGTTTTCGCCCCGGGGAGCGTTTATCGTTGATATGTATTAACAAGCTCTCAACGTTCTGCAAAGTGTGTGTGTGTGTGTGTGTGTGTGTGTGTGTGTGTGTGTGTGTGTGTGTGTGTGTGTGTGTGTGTGTGTGTGTGTGTGTGTGTGTGTGTGTGTGTGTGTGTGTGTGTGTGTGTGTGTGTGTGTGTGTGTGTGTGTGTGTGTGTGTGTGTGTGTGTGTGAGCTGCCATAGCGACACGGCGGCAATGACTGACAGCAAAGGCTTCATTCAGGAAGATTTGTTAACTGCTGCAAGATATGTAACGTGTGTGTATTATAATGAGATACATCAAGGTTTCAAATTACATTTATTGACTATTTGCAACAAAGAGTGACACAGCTAAATGCCTTTGTAGCTTATAGTCCATTTACACTGCAGGGGGTAAACATGACAAAGCAAAAAAAGAAGCAGAAGAGCGATTTCTTGAATTTGCGTAATGTAAACAAAACGAGACAACAGTGAAATCTCTGGAGAGATAATATTGAATTGTTCTCATACTGCCTGTGCTGCAGCACCTCTTTTCACCCTCTGTCTGAAACCAGAGCCCAGTTTGCTCTGATTGGTTAGCTGGCTGGCTCTGTTGTGATTGGTCAACCAGCTTAAAGATGTCCCGCCCCCTTAGCCTATCACGTACAATGTGTTGGAGCGCTAGCCAATAGAAGCGCGAGAGTTCTGTAGTGATGTCACCGTGTTCCAGAACATTGGGATTGTAGCCTTTTGCAGACCATTTTACATGCACTAAAACCTATAGAAACAGAGAAGGGAAAACCCCAGAAAGCATAATAGGGACTCTTTAAATTAATATATATCAAGTTGAGGTTCATTGTTGTAAAAACAGTCAGACATCCGGTTGGTCCATGTGTTTGTTTCCGTGACGATGGAGCCATATGGTCCTGTTGTTATGTTCCTGCCTGTGGACAGAGCCCAGGAGCAGGCTGTGTAGATCAATAGTCTTAAAGGTGGTTGCTGGTTTTCCTTTCTGGCCTCCTTCCCTCTCCTCCTGGCACCTTGCTTCTTCCTCTAGTGTTGACAGGGAATATCTCAGTTTGTGTGTGTGCGTGCGTGCGTGCGTGTGTGTGTGTGTTCATATTTCACTCCCATGTTGCACTCATTTGCATTATGACGGCTCATCTCTAGCAGATCTACCCGACAAATGTGTGTGTAAAGGTGTGTGTTCCTCTTCTCGTGCCCTTTTCGATCCTCCCACTGGGTTTCAATTTGGCTGGAGAGCTGGACTGAGGCTTGAATCCAAATGAATGCTTGTCACTTCTCTGTAGTGATGCAATGCAAACACCCGCTGTAAACATGTGTCGGAGCAGCCAGTTTGAGTGTCATCAGCCTCATATATGTGGGTCGGAAACGGCATGCTGCAACAAACTAGTAGTTTTATCATCTGACACTTGATAGAAATCATCTGTTGCACACACACAGAAACAAACATAAATGCACACAATGTTGCATGACCCTACATGATGGAAACTTCCGGGCCAGGTCACTTTAATAATGGGATTGTAATTGGATCTTTGTGTAAGGGTGAAAAGGAGAGCTACTGAAAAATGACCAAAGCATATCCTCAGTTGAGATCCTTTGCCAGTGTTGTTTCCGATGTCTCCTGTCCTGAAAGGAATACATTCAGGGCCCAGAAGTGTGATTTCTTTTTGTATTAAGTCTCTGAAGACATGTGATTTGGGGTCAGAGGTTAAAAGCATGTGGCTCCACCTCTACCTTCAGTCTGTTCGCTCTGCAAAGACCTCAATTATACCAGACTGCGTTGTACCCTCAGAGGTCATTTCACAGTATGATTGAGGTTGTGTGTCTTGACTTAATTGGGGTTTTTGTAGGGTTTTATCGTTCTGGAATTGAGACGTTTTTGACGGTGTGACGACGAGGCTGAATGCTGTCGTTGGTAGCCGTTAAACATCTAATGCTATTCGCTAAAAGCTTCATGTCCCTGCATTTGAAGCCTTTTCTTTGGGTAATTAAAGCATTTGAAACACGAAGGGACTCACAAACCTGCTGAACAAAGTGACTCTAACAATGTCAACAAAAGTGGACAATTGGGTATAAGATCAGCTACATATTTGCAGTTTTGTGTTTGTTGTTGAAACCAAAAGTGTTCTACAGTGTGTGGAAAAATAAGAAATAAATGCACAGTAGTTTTATATACAAATTGGAAAAGTATGCCTGCATTTGAAATGTCTACAATTTATAGTTATCGGGAGCTTTTAACCTGCTTCATATTCCAGCATCGAAACACCTCAGCCATTTTTCTCTACCTGCCACTGAGGGGCTTTTCAAACCTCCAACCTTCACTTCATCTCCCCCCAAGCGTTCCCAAAAGACTGTAATCACAGTAACGTGGTGCCTGCGTAAAGCCCTGCAGCTAGTTTCACTCAACATACCTTACCACTGCAACGTTTCCTGGTTGTTCCAGTTCTGCTGCCTCATTCATTTACAACATGGACCCTTTCCTAAATCACCCTTAGACAGGAGAGCATCCATTCTGTGTCGGTGTTAATTACCCATTCTGTGGTACCGCCTGTGGCTATGGGCTCTTCTGTAGTGTGTTATATAACTTCAAATAGGTCCTAAGCCTGAGAGAAACTCGTTCTTCTTCTCTAGGAGGAGGGGAAGAACATGAAATATATTAGGTTTAGTCGCATGCTTCTGCAGAGCGAGATAGGGAGACGGTGGATTTCAGAAGAAGTGTTTCCCGATGTTTCTGACAGAGAAGCACAGGAGCTCTGACAGAGTTTGCTTTCGCAGGCACAACTGAGACACGACATCTCTGCATCCGCCTGAAGTAAAAAATGTCTGTTCTGTGTTTTATCCACTTTTCTTTTTTTACTAAAAGAGCTGCATGTGGTGCAGACTGACAGGAGGATTTATTGAATGACTTCCCAATTGTCATCATGGGGTTTAGAAACATTAACTGCTGGCTGTCATCGTGACATCGTGTTTTCTTTCCTGACATCCAATGTGATTTTGTACGTCAGATGACCTCGTGTGTGTGTGTGGTGTGTGTGTGTGTGTGTGTGTGTGTGTGTGTGTGTGTGTGTGTGTGTGTGTGTGTGTGTGTGTGTGTGTGTGTGTGTGTGTGTGTGTGTGTGTGTGGGTGTGTGTGTGTGTGTGTGGGTGTGGGTGTGGGTGTGGGTGTGGGTGTGGGTGGGTGTGTGTGGTGTGTGTACGTAGGTCCAAACATTGAAGTAAATCATATGAAATGTGTGTCTCCAGGAGAGGATCCTGAAGCGAGACGCATGAGGACGGTGAAGAACATCGCTGACCTGCGACAGAACCTGGAAGAAACCATGTCCAGTCTGCGGGGGACGCAGATCACACACAGGTAACAGACTTACATTAATTAAAGGTCCCCTATCATACTGTTTTTCATCAATATGTTACAGGTCTCAGATATATACAGAACATGTCTCTGATTGGCTGAAACACCAAACAGATCATTGCAGCATCCCATAATCCCCTCTGTTTCAGCCCTGTTTCCAAAGTGCTGATTCTCTGTCTGTTACTTTAGATGAAAATAAGGAGCCCCTCCCCACGCCCCTCTGAGAGTGTAAACATTTACACGATCGGATTGAAGCGTCGAGTCGATGCTCGTGTTGCTTTTAATCATACGAAGCCAGATTAAATTAAAGAATGACTTATCCAACGCTGAACTCTTTCCCAGAATGCAGTGGTTCATTTTTGTCAGTTTCATACGTGAATCAAATGCAGGATGCCAGTGGTTATTTTAAGAGAGGTTGGAAGCTCTGTCATTTTATTAAAATGTGTAGCAGCCAATTTAAAGTAGACAGATTGAATATTAATTTAAATTAAAGGTCACCTATCATGCTATTTTTAGGCAATAGCATAGGTCTCAGATATATACAAATATATAAAAAACATGTCTATGAAGTGTTTTGCTCAAAATACCAAACAGATCACCCATTCTAGCCATGCCTCATATCCCTCTATTTCACTTCCTGTTTCAAAAGTGCTGATTTGGGGAATAAAGCTTTTAAAAAATTAAAAAGGAGGGGTCTGAGCTCATGTGGGACCCTGCAGCTACTGTCTAAACTAAATGCTGCCGTGATGAAACGCCATATCATGGATTATCAAGGATTGTTTCTGAAACAGTATGGAGCTCAAAGGCTTTCTCTCTTGCCGGTTATACCACAAGGTGAGTTCCTTTTTATTTCCTGCTTCTTCACACACATGCTCTCCAGTACAGGTTAGCTCTGAGTGTTAGCGATGCTAATGTAAACACCGACCATATTACGTCCAAAACAGTCGGGCATTGTTTCTGATAGCAACGTTTCTGATAGGGCCGTGGGTCCACATTTCAGATATTACGTCATATCGGACGCAAATCTGGATCAGCTCCGTTGTTCCCCGTTTTTAGAGATTTGGGTACGGAGGAAAAGAGAGAGGGTTTCATTTTCTGACGCTGCGTGAGTTCCCTGACACACCGGGGACACATGTTTATGTAGAGAAGACATCAAAAAGTGCATTTTGCATGATAGGTCCCCTTTAAGTTTCCTTTAAGATTACAGTTTAACATAAGATAAGTCTTTATTGATCCACGTAGGGAAATTCAGGTGTTTGAGAGTGAAACACAGGATAGGACAGGTAGTAGTTCCAACAAGGTTAACAATAATAACAAATAAAATAATAAATTAATAGTATATAAAATAAAATGTAATAAATAATATTACTAAAAATAATAATATAAATAATGGTAATGGTAACAATAATAATCATAATAATGATGATATTAATAATAACAATAATACAAATAAAAAAAATTAAGAAATAAAAAAAATATGTAAATGACAGTAAAACATTTTTTTTTTATAGCAGATTACAAAATTACAGACATATAATTAAACAATTATACAATGGTCCTGGCTATATCGTCAGTTCCCTGTCCGTTGTCCTTGGAAAATAAAATACATTTCAGATTTCCATCCCACTGCCTCGCCTTCATTTTATCACAATAACCCACCGTCTCCAAAAATGAGTAATGTCCCCTCTGAAAACACGCCATCTCCCTGCATCAGATTAAAGTCAGACGCCCCCGTGCTCTGCAGCTGGTTCACATGTCATGACGTTCAGGAGGTGATGGACAACCTGTTCCTGAAAAAGAGAGAGTCTCGTCTGTGAGGCCCCGGACACAAAATGATCTCCATTGCTCTCCGTCATCTCCCCAGGCAATGCTTCCCTCACTCCATTATTCTGTGTGTTTTGCCCCATTTGCCGGGGAAGATGGTAGCCAGGCTGCAGACAGTCATGACAGATGGCCGTGTGTGTGTGTGTGTGTGTGTGTGTGTGTGTGTGTGTGTGTGTGTGTGTGTGTGTGTGTGTGTGTGTGTGTGTGTGTGTGTGTGTGTGTGTGTGTGTGTGTGTGTGTGTGTGTGTGTGTGTGTGTGTGTGTGTGTGTGTGTGTGTGTGTGTGTGTGTGTGTTTGTTTTCCACTCCTTTTCTTTTTCTCTCAGACTCGATCAATGCAGCATCATTGTCTTACCATCACAGGGTTTCAGTGTGAGGTGTGTGAAGGAATAAAATTCTCCTGCATCTGACAAAAAACGACATTCAGCGTGAAAAATATGAACAATGCATCATGTTACCTGACTTTTTAATTTGACGTCTTACATGTTGAACACAAATACCTGTACTTTCTACTTCTTACATGTTGAACACAAATACCTGTACTTTCTACTTCTTACATGTTGAACACAAATACCTGTACTTTCTACTTCTTACATGTTGAACCCAAATACCTGTACTTTCTACTTCTTACATGTTGAACACAAATACCTGTACTTTCTACTTCTTACATGTTGAACACAAATACCTGTACTTTCTACTTCTTACATGTTGAACACAAATACCTGTACTTTCTACTTCTTACATGTTGAACTCAAATACCTGTACTTTCTACTTCTTACATGTTGAACCCAAATACCTGTACTTTCTACTTCTTACATGTTGAACATAAATACCTGTACTTTCTACTTCTCACATTTCCCAAACAGGCTGGTTCCTTTAGTTTGAATGTGTGTTTGGTGGCGTGATCATTATTATTTAGAGTCATTGCGTGCCTATTGATTTGAACACGATCCGTGTATCCATCATTTCCTGGTCTTCTCTAAAGAAGAGGGACCAATGAAAACGTTGTCATGTTGCCGTTGTTCAGCATGGAAACATTCATTAGCTAACAATGACATTATTGTTCTATTAATATAAAGGGAGGTCAGGTACTCTTTAAAACAGCTGCTAGTTATGGGTACTTTTTACTGAAGTACATTTCAAAGCCCTCTTTACTTTTACTTGAGTAAAGAAGTTTAGTCAGTACTTCTACTTTTACCAGAGTATTTTTAAACACGAGTACTTCTACTTGAGTAAAGGATGTGTGGACTTTTGCCATCCCTACTGAGTGTCTGCACCCTGCTATAGGAATAAAGGGAAGCTGGCTCCTGAGTGTTTGACTATGCGGACATGTTCATATTTTAAATGTAAGGACAGCCTTGGAGTGTGCATGCCAATCTGTCCGTGACAAAAGCCTGGCCAAACCGTGCTTATCTCCTCTGGATGAGAAAAGGCTGTAATCACCATGAAGCTTTGAAGCACTTAAAGCAATTAACACTGATGCGCTCGAGCAGACATGACTGTCATATTCATCACTGTGTCTTTCTGTGGGATTCTCCTTCTTTCTTTGTAGCACATCTTCTCAGACTGCGTGTTCAGATCTCATCAGCCGCCATCATTGCCTCTTTTATCAAAGGGTAGAACGCACTGACAAAAGTTAATTGAGGCACTGTGGGAATTGATGGCATGAAAGCAGAGGAAAGTGTGTATGAGATGATCCAGTTTTTATATTTTAAAAAGTTATAACAGCTGATTGCACAAAGGCAAAGTTTGGACTTATGAATGTCAATGGTGGAAAACCGCGATCTTCTACTTAAGTAAAAGTCCTGCTTACAGAAAACTTAAGAAAATTACAAAAGTATCAGCATCAAAATATACTTAAAGTACCAAAAGAAAAAGCACTTGTTGTGCAAAATGTCCCATGGTATGTCGTATATTAAATTACTTCATTATGATCATTGATGCATTAATGCACATGTGTCAAACTCAAGGCCCGGGGGCCAAATCAGGCCCTTGGTGGATTTAATTTCGGCCCGCAGGATAATTTCTAATTACTATTAGATCTGGCCCGCCGGTATATTGCACGCACACCTTCACTCAACCCTGAGGGTCTCCTCAGCTCAGAGCCTGACCCCAAACATTGATGACCTTGCACCCAAGATGAGATGCCAAGTATCTGAACTAGCATCACAGAGCAGCTAACTGAGTTTACATGGATGTTTCCTTCTGCACTTTCTTTCTTGAGACAACAGGGCATGTTTGGTTTGTTCTTTGAGGGAAATAGTTTTGTTGAAGCTGTTGTTGGCCTGTGGAGAAATGTAATCATAAGAAATGACTCTGGAAAAGCTGCAGATAGAGCCATAAGAAATGAATGCAACTGATTATTTAATGTTTAATGTTGTTTTTATAGGCAATCATTTAAGCTTAGTTAGTTCCAGGTTTAATATGTGCAATAAGTTCATTTCAATAAGTTTTGCAATAAACATTGAACCAGTCCGGCCCTCGACTAGTACCCATTTTTTTATTTTGGCCCACTGTGTATTTGAGTTTGACCCCCCTGCATTAATGTGTTCATCAGAGCTGTTAAAGACGCAGCTAGTTTTAGTTACATTATAAGCTGCTGCTGGATATTTTAACCTTTAATTATATGTCAATGTTTATTTATTCATGGTTTATATTTGGTATTAGCTAATAATCGTAATTGTAAAGTAGCTGAAGCTATCAGATACATGTTGTTGTACATTAAAAAAAGTACAATATTGTCTTCTAAAATGTACTGGAGTACAAGTATAGAGACTTATATTTGGACTATGTTGTAAATGTATTATCTTTTTAATTTACACACGACATCTATCCCTCCTCTGTTGCCCTCCTCGAGGTTTCTAACATTTTCCCCGTTAACTTTTGGGGTTTCTTTGGAAGTTTTTCCTTGTCAGATGTTTTCATATATCTATTCATATTCTGTCAAAACTGTAAAGTCCACTCAGACAAATGAAGAATGTGTGATATTGGGCTATATAGATAAACTTTGATTGATTGATAGATAGAGTACCATAATAAGAAATACTCAAAACATAACTACAATACTTGAGTAAATGTACTCCCACTATATTCCAGCACTGAACATTAATCCTTTCATTATTTAAGTCCCGTCCTCTTTGACTTGTCCTTTACACTGCAGCAAAGTTTGACATTCTTCACAGATCCTCCGGCCCCGACAGACAATCCGTATTGATTAAAAAACTCATTAAATTTCCCTCCACTGTTTTCTCTTCTATCCAGACAATAAAAAATGGTATTGATTGACATTTGGGAGCAATAGATGCTGCTCAATGTGTGAAGAAAGTCAAGAAATCCTGTCATCTTCAAGGGCAAATAGAAAAGAAAGGGGAAATGTCGAGGGATCCCATATCCCCCCGAGGACTCAGCAGATAAATAATAGCTTTTCCCCGGTGTTTACTTTCTGTTTACACATGGAGCCCAGAGAGAAGGGGGCATGGTCCATTATTCATTGCTTTTGAATTGAAGGAGATAGCTATTGGTTCGGTTTATGTGCACATTTTTCAGTTCGAGCTGACGCTTCATTACGATGATTGCAAGCGTTCGGTAGAAGAAGCAAACCTACCAAAAGATAGACACGTTTTTAACGCTAATGATCCTTGAAAACCAGATTTTCTACTAAGGCTGAGAGGATAAGTGACATGATGGAGCTGGAGGAATCCACAGGATGAGTTTACTATAATACTCTTTTTGCGGCCCTCAGATTAATTTCATTCATAATTTCAGCGGGAACAGCAGAGTGTGGGTTGACAGGTGTCTGTGTTGACATTCCCCTTATTGTGCGTCAGCAGAGACGGGCTACAAGTGTCTTAGCTAGGTTCAATTAGACGACTAATGTCCTGGTTAGTGTTCATGACTTCATGTTCATGTCATCTTAATTGTTAATCTTGATGCACACACATTTTCCGTGCTTTCCAATAGTTAAAAATAGTTTTATTCCTCTGTTAAATAACCTGTTCAATACAAACATGCCACTTGTAAAAATTAAATAACATTTCGAACTGATATTTGTTTAGTGAGCTTGTTAGAGGATGTTCCCTAAAAGATTGAAAAATGTCAATGAAGATGTCAGACTTAGTATATTTGTTAATAATTACATACAATACATGGAATTTGTGTCTGTGTGTGTGTGTGTGTGTGTGTGTGTGTGTGTGTGTGTGTGTGTGTGTGTGTGTGTGTGTGTGTGTGTGTGTGTGTGTGTGTGTGTGTGTGTGTGTGTGTGTGTGTGTGTGTGTGTGTGTGTGTGTGTGTGTGTGTGTGTGTGTGTGTAATACATACATTATGTGGCCCCCACCACCATCCAAGTTGCCCATCCCTGCTATAGAGTAACGTATGTTTTATAAGGAGGTGATTTTGCATATTGGCAGTCTTTATTGGGACGGATTCCATGCCAGTAATTCATAAATCACCTTAGAATAAAGTAAATAACCCTCTAATTTCTCTTAACAGTTTGTCATGCTTTTCTTTATTGGTTAGCTGTTGTGATTGGTCAACCGCTTAGAGATGTCCCGCCCCTTAATCTATCACGTACGATACATTTGATAAAATACGAGGTACAAATTGGGAAACGTTTGTGTTGCAGCAGCATGAAAAAAACTAGAAAAAAAACATTGCACATAAGTATAAATTAAAAAGTGGAAATAAACAATACTAGAATTTGAACATCTCAAAATAGTGTGCACACGTACAATATGTTGTTGTATGTTGGAGAGCTAGCCAATAGAAGTGCTTACATAGTGATGTCAATATGTTCTGGAAGTAAACAAAAGAGTCCAATGGTGGCGTCTTCTAGCCTTTGCAGACCATTTACATGCACTAAAACGTATAGAATAGGGCCTCTTTGAGAGCCTCTATGAAGTGGAGCTGCAGAATTGCATTTTCCCTGAGATCAGTAAATAAACCTGCATGAATATCTGATGACGTGTCAGAGCTCATAATCAGGAGGAAGATGCAGGGATTCAGCATTACTCAGCAATAACCATTCTGCTGTCAATATGGATTCTCCTCCCACTGAGCTGCTGGATAAACAAACCACTCTCCCTTTGTTCGGATTATTTGGGTTCTGCTTCTGCTTTGTACCAGATAGTCTAATAAAGCCTGAACAAAACAGCGGGGTTTATGGGAAATGTGGTCCTGATATTGAGAAGCGACAGCTAACAAAACAACCAAATTATGTGTGTTTATATGCAGTAGATTAGATGTGTAAAACGTACCCAGCAGCACATTTCCTACTCATCCATAGACACACACACACACACACACACACACACACACACACACACACACACACACACACATGGCTAGTGGTTATTTTGATTAATTGACCGTGGCAAATGAATCTCTGTATTCTAATATTTCTCTGTGATTGCTTTTTAAATAAGCATCAGTTGTCTGTTTAATTTTGCACTCAGACATGGTGGTGTGTGTGTGTGTGTGTGTGTGTGTGTGTGTGTGTGTGTGTGTGTGTGTGTGTGTGTGTGTGTGTGTGTGTGTGTGTGTGTGTGTGTGTGTGTGTGTGTGTGTGTGTGTGTGTGTGTGTGTGTGTGTGTGTGTGTGTGCGCGTGCATGCGTGTGTGTTTGGTTGTTGATCTCAGGAGGTGTTGATAAAGATCGGATGTGAACACGGCTGGCATCTCTACCCCTCTCATGTTGGCACTTGGCATCACAGGGGACAGTGTACTGACCTTTCTCTCACACACACGTCACACACACACACATATACACACACACACACACACACACACACACACACACACACACACACACACACACACTGTTCTCACACCTCTGTCACCACCATGTGTGAGAAACTGCTTGTCGTTGCTTTTAAGTCTCATCAAACAGCTCCTGCCCTCGGACTTAAACTGCATTATGAGCGTTTTAAGTACCTTTTCAATAGTTTTCAAAGTCACAATATTATAATTTAGTCCTGGCAGACAATGTAGAACAAATATGCTGATAATGATACAGACGTCATGTCCTTATATTCTGTAATTTAAATCAGAGCTTGCCCAAAATGTCCTCTTATTGTGGACATTTCCTAGGTTTCTCTATTTTATATTACTCGGCAGGTTAATCGTAGTTTCTTCTTAACACATTTAATGTTAGTCTTGTTTCTATCATGCATAATACAGTAGAGGATTTGGCCAAATAAGGGATGTATATGACTACACATTAGCACATTTTCCGCGTTGTGTTTTGATGTGTGTTTTGTGTTGTGTGATATCATGTGACTGTAGTTCACTCTTCTTCCCAGCAGAGAGAGCTCAAGCTGGTGTTTTATTGCATTGCACATCTGTTAAGGATTTAACCTTCATTTGTTGAAAATGTAGCTAGAAAATCAAAAATTGGTAGTTATTACCCTTTCTCTCTGGCATTTCACCAGCACTTGCTTCAACCCTGCTGATGCAACGTAATCTGATACATATTTTATTTTCTGTGGCAGTTTAAAATCCTTTGCAAAATAGATGTAATAGTTGAATACAAACATGGCTGTCTGTGTCTCCATCTCCATGTGATTCACTGTGATGGATGCTCTGACATATGTCCTCATGGGAGCAATCACTTTCTGCTATATTTCCCCTTCAAGTCAACACAGTGGAAGAAACAGCAGCACTTTAGGAAGGTCATACACACACACACACACACACACACACACACACACACACACACACACACACACACACACACACACACACACACACACACACACACACAGCAGTACTGGAAAAAATAGCATGAGGGAGTGGCGCTCTACTACTTAAAAAAATGTCCGATCTTTTCACCTGAATGATTTACCCTTTGCACAGGATTGCACTTGATACGATGAGTAAGACTCGTTATTGTTGTGCACTTTTAGCAATTCTTTACTCAAGAAACTGTCAGAAAAATCACAGTGATAATAGCGCTTTTTGCTTTTTAAAGAGTCAGATTTGTAAAAGTGTTTTCGCCAAAGTGTTTCGGGACTTGTACATTTGTCTCAGTTCTCGTAAAAGTGTTTCGCATCTTGTTAATTTGTTATTGTTAATGTTAAATTGTTTTTTCCTTAGTAAAAATGTTTTGCTCAACACAGGATAATACCCGTTTTTTTGCTTTTCAAGAGTAAGAGTTTAATTCCTTTATTGTTTTTTCTCTCTCCACAGTACAATAGAAACAACCTTTGACACCACCGTAACCACGGAGGTAAATGGGCGGAGTCTCCCAGCCCTCACCACACGCTCCTCCCCCATGGCCTGGCGTCTCGGCCAATCACAAACCCCGCGTCTCCAGGCGGGCGACGCCCCCTCAATGCCCGGCAGCTACGCGGCGGCGGCGCCCAGGGCGACCACGACGAGCGCCGGGTGCACCACAGGGCGCTACACTGGGCACTCTGACACTTCCAGGTTTGTGTTCAGAAGAGGGGTGAGGGGGGCGGAGCAAGGGGAGAATGGAGGAGGAGGAGCAGGAGGAGGAGGAGGAGGAGGAAGAGGAGAAGGAGAAGGCGATGAAGGGCAGCAGTCGGAGATGGAGATAACAGGGTACTTGAGTGAAGGAGATATCCTAGGGAGGAGCAACCGGACCAATGAGATCACCAGCGGGTAGGACGACTATAGCACTTAGCATGTTAGCTTCCTCTGATGCACTTCTGACTTCTGACATAAATGATGCTGCCAAAATGTATATTGTTAGTCTAAATTAAACTTGCTTCTGTTTGGTTGAGGTAGGTAAAAGTATTTGTTGCCAAAATGTATATTGTTAGCCTAAAATATCCTACGAGCGACTATAGCGCCTAGCATATTAGCTTCCTCTGATGCACTTCTGACTTCCTGCTTTAAATGCCGACGCTTTAATTGGTAAATGATGGTGTCAAAATGTATATAATCACGTACAATGCATTGGAGTACTGGCTAATAGAAGTGCCAGTGTTCCATAGTGATGTCACTGTGTTCCCGGAACTCTGGTTATTTTAGCCTTTGCAGACCATTTACATGCACTAAAAACCTTTAGAACACACTACAGGAAAGGGAAAACCCCCCAAAAATCACAATATAGGGCCTCTTTAAGTTATATTCTAACGGACAGTATGAGAAAAAGAGACACTAGAGAAATTAAACACGTTCGAGTATGAATCCAAAATATAAGTATGGACCCGAAAGCGAGCAGAATATGTTCCATTTGATATGATTTGGCCTTCTTCTTCCTCTATACTAACTGAAACACTTGTTTGATGGATCATGAATACAAGTCACATTTTTCTATTCAATGTCGCAGTGTATATGGGTTTAGTAGAAAAGACGCCATGGTTGGATGTGGAGTCTCCAAGGCCTCATCTTTCTGTGTACATTAATACAAAGAGCAAGCTAACATCCACCAAGGCTGTCATCGTTTGTCTTGCCATGAAAGTGAAGTGTGCAACCCGAGGCCACGCCATTCACTGACAGATTAGCTGAATGAAAATAGATCCGGAAAACATCACGGCAAAATGTGTGTTTGCTTCTGACCTTCAATCTCACCATAGCTATTAAAGCAGTGAGCAAATGAGAGTTTTGTCAAAAAGGCAATTCACATTCTACATATCCCCACACACACACACACACACACACACACACACACACACACACACACACACACACACACACACACACACACACACACACACACACACACACACACACACACACACACACACACACACACACACACACACACACACACACAGGGCAGACTGTGAAGGGGTGCAAAGCAGAGTTATGGGGTAAAGCATATTAATTAAAGTAACACGTCGGAAAGGAAAAGTGATTAGCTAAGCTTAATTAGCTAAATGCTAATGGTCTCCATGTCCTATCAGCCGTGCCTCAAATCTTACCACTTACTCGGTGCCACATACACACATTTAACAGGGTTCTTTGCAGATCCTTAAAAAAGGCTAAAAGGCAACAAAAAAAAGCCTTAATTGGTACTAAATTGTGTTAAATCAATCAAAAGTCTTAAAAATGATACAAAATAGATTGTATTCATCGTTTTTGTCTTACTTTACAATTTAAATTCGATTTTATGTTTATTTTATACTTTACTGAATGCCCTTTTGCAATAATGATACAATTCTGTTTGCATCCGAAGTGCTCAAAGCAGGCGGAAATGCTAATTCAATTAAGTGTTGCTATTAGGATTTAACATGTAAGATTTGGCTCAAACAGATACCCTATATATTTCTGGAGAAGAATGTGGTGCATAAGTTTATTTTATTTTCAATATTGATGACTGCAAAGTTGGTGTTTATTCTCAGGAAGTAGTTTTATTCTACATGGTGTTAAAAAAGTCTAAAAATCCAACTTACCTCAAGCTGTTGAATAAGGATTTGATAGGCTTTCGCAAGTGCTTTTTTTATCAGTATATCCATGATGTCACTGTATTCCCTTACTGGTTTAGTTTATCCAGAACAGAGGTTGGCCAACTCGAGTCAATTTTATTTAAACATTTACTATCTGTCCACCACAGCATCTTCATCCTCTTATTTGATTTGATAGGTTTTCACAAAAAAAAGTTACGTTTTTGCAGAACAGAGGTCGGATGTGTCAAGTCAATTTCATTTATACAGTTACTATCTTTCCACCACAGCATCTTCATCCTCTTATTATTCCCCCTCTCACAGATACCTTACCGACGGCGGCCTTCATCTGTATTCGAGGAGCGCAGGCCGAGCCTCGGACTCTTCTACTTCTCAAGATGTTTCCCAGAAAGGCAGCAAAGAGATGCAGGGCGACATCGACAGGTAGGCAATACCTCGCTTTGATGATTTGATGTTGCTGTGGACGATGACACTGGAAACATAGAGGGACAATGATAAATATACAGATGTGCAAACAGTGGGTACATTTCTACATTTGTGTTCAGACTTTTGGAATTTTCCGGATGTCACAACTAAGTAACTTTGTGCATTTACTCAACTACATCTTTGAGGTAATTGTACTTCACTTGAGTGCTTCAATTGTATGCTGCTTGATACTTATACTACAGTACAATTTATAAGCAGATATTGTACTTTTACTCACACTTATTTGACACTTTTAGTTACTAGTTACTTTGCACATTCATATTGTTTATTACAAAACAAAGTATGACATACTCTAATGGATTAAGATATCTGAATAGCGAGTCATTAAAAGTTATTACCAGCTGCAAATTTAAATTACATTAATGCATGAATAATTACAATCCAGTGATTTAATATGTATTATTCTGAAAATAAAATGTGAGGGGTTTTACACCTACTGTATACAACAATTGTACTTCACTTGAGTGCTTCAATTGTATGCTGCTTGATACTTATAATACAGTACAATTTGTAAGCAGATATTGTACTTTTACTCACACTTATTTTACACTTTTAGTTACTAGTTACTTTGCACATTCATATTATCTATTACAAATCAAAGTATGACATACTCTAATGGATTAAGATATCTGAATAAAGAGTTAAGAAGTAAGTTCATGTCCTTGGAAAGTAACCTTGTGCATTTACTCAAGTGCATCTTTGAGGTAATTGTACTTTACTTGAGTATTGCCATTGTATGCTACATGATACTTATACTACAGTACAATTTGTAAGCAATTATAAGGTTTTGTACTCACTAAAAAAATTAAGTATGACATACTATAATGGATTAATATATCTGAATAAAGAGTCATTTAAAGTTATTACTAGCTGCAAAATAAAATTACTTTACTGCATGAATAATTACAATCCAGTGATATAATATGTGATGGATTTTAGCCTCTGAGGACCATTTACATGCACCAAAACCTATATAACACATTACAGGAAAGGGAAAACCCCAAGAGGCATAATAGGACCTCTTTAATCGAAAGAAACCCCATAAATCCACAAGTTAAAAAGTAAGAAGTAAGTCCATGTCCTTCAGAGATGACAGTCAGGACACTGCGGGGACACGCAAGATTACATGAGGTGAAAAGGAGAGACGTGCGATCGATTTAAAGCTGTCAGGCTCAGATTGAGATGACAGGCCTTCAGGGAGCCTGCTGGGAATCCACTGCTGCAGCGACATTTCCCAGCATGCAACTCTAACTTCTGCCAACGCTTTGATGAGTCGCAGTGTTTGGAGGAGGCGGAGGGCTTTGGAAAGCAATCAGAAATCACTCTATAGAAATAGCTTGGTTTTGTTTTAATGCTTAAAATAAGTAAAGGGCGGTTAGAGTCACTCCTTTTTTTATAATTGTTATGCTATGACGTTTGTATTTTGTCCTTTGAGGCATTTCTTGTGATTTGGATCAATAATACATTTGTATTTCATTTGATTTGACTTCTTAGCTAACTTTAAGGATCTTATTCAAGCTGCCAATGTGGTCGTTTTGAATACAATACAATGCATTACAGCTTTATTTGTAAAGCAATTTAAAACCTCCAGACCAAAGTGCTGTACAGAGAAATAAATACATGAATAAATTACAAAAATCTCAGCTCAGAAAACATAAAAATAGGCAAAAATACAAATAAAAAGGTAAAAATAAACATGAATAGTGTAATAACAGCCATATAGTAAAAACAATAGACCAATTAAAATCTATAAAAGCAACAGTCTACTATCTTTCTAAGTGTTGAACGTTAAGGAGAAGAGGTGGATTTTAAGACGTGATATTAAACAGACATGGTTATATAGGATGAATGTAACCATAGTTAGGTACAACTTACAGACGTTGTGATTCCTCCTCCTGCTGAATCTGTCTTTGTTTTTGCTACCAGTTTACATAACTGTGTTGTTGAAAAGCCCCGACGGTCCTTCTGTTTTCTGGTGTTTCACAAGCAACACAGCAGTCAGTCAGCGGAGATGTTCAGCAGGTCGGATCATATCTGTGATCGGCAGAGCGTCACGATATCAGCCGACCTGACCGGAGGTTCAGAACAGCCTGTCAGTCTCTCTCTGATCTGCTGTCAGACTGTGACACTCGAAGGGATGGATGGATAATTATGAACCCTCTGAACTGTCATTAGCCGCCTTTAGCTTAGCGGTGGTGATGTGAAGTCATGTGACCGTGCTGTAGTTCCTTTATAGCCCAACATTAGCCGCCTTTAGCTTAGCGGTGGTGATGTGAAGTCATGTGACCGTGCTGTAGTTCCTTTATAGACCAACATTAGCCACCTTTAGCTTAGCGGTGGTGATGTGAAGTCATGTGACCGTGCTGTAGTTCCTTTATAGCCCAACATTAGCCGCCTTTAGCTTAGCGGTGGTGATGTGAAGTCATGTGACCGTGCTGTAGTTCCTTTATAGCCCAACATTAGCCGCCTTTAGCTTAGCGGTGGTGATGTGAAGTCATGTGACCGTGCTGTAGTTCCTTTATAGACCAACATTAGCCACCTTTAGCTTAGCGGTGGTGATGTGAAGTCATGTGAAGTCATGTGAAGTCATGTGACCGTGCTGTAGTTCCTTCATTTGGCACAAAAAAAGGGGAATACACGTTTCGCAATTATGCCACATCAAGGTGGAACGCTCTTCCCACAACTGTAAAGGAAAGTAAAACTATACTTACCTTCAAAACCTCTCTTAAAGAGCACCTTCGGGGGAAAGCATTGCAAAACTGGCCCCGGTAATGGTACAAATCTCAACCTGTCGTACAATGGACAGCTTCCCCCCCCCATCTATGTATATACTCGCATTTTAGACTCTGTTACTAACTGTATATCTGTAGACTTGGTATGTCTTAAATGTCCGGTTAGGATGTATTAGAACGAAATCTAAAATGAAAATTGTAAATAAGCCATCTGTATGTAAAAAACCACCTGTATGTAAATTGTAAATAAGCCATCTGTATGTCAAATATGTCTTATATGTCTTAAATGATATGATGAATTGGAAATGGGGGACCCTGATGTAAACAAGACGAAAGTCTTTCTCTGGTCTGCATCCCCTTAACAATTGTATGTTTTGAGCTGTACTGTACTGTACCCAATATACAAGCTGTTAATAAACTTTTCAATCAATCAATCAATAGCCCAACATTAGCCACCTTTAGCTTAGCGGTGGTGACGTGAAGTCATGTGACCGTGCTGTAGTTCCTTTATAGCCCAACATTAGCCTCCTTTAGCTTAGCGGTGGTGACGTGAAGTCATGTGACCTTGCTGTAGTTCCTTTATAGTTAGCTTTTTATGCTACAAATCATAAAAGTGGTGTTAATATGTGGAGATTATCCTGCTGAACAAAACATATAAGTATCATAAATGTGTGTTTGCAACAGATCTTCCAATTTAATCCAATAGAAAAACCCTTTTGCTCTTGTGATGCTACCTTTCAGGACCTCCTTCAAAAATACTCCACCAGTGCACGACTCTAATGTGCTAATTTTTCTCAACCTGCCTTCACATTATTCCCAAAAACTGTGGCGTCTCTGAGCTAAAGTTTGAGATAGCGCTTTGGGCGTCAGGAGCGATAAGAAAGTATTGATGCCTGCAGGCTAAAAGACACCTGATGTGTTTTCGAATTTGAACTCTGTGAATGCACACACACACACACACACACACACACACACACACACACACACACACACACACACACACACACACACACACACACACAGTACACATGGCTTTAATGCCTCCCTGTGACATGTGTGACAGTCAGAAGCTGAGCTGCTGTCACTTTCCCTCTGACATACGGCAATGCTCGGGGGGGCGATTGCTCACCGTGTTTTCAGCATGGCTTTAGCTCGCTCCCTTGGGACAGGTTTTCACTTCTTTTTCCTGAAACATTCATATCATTTCCACAAAACCCCTCCGGCTTTAAGTAAGACAAACTGTTCGCTCACCTCGAAGAACTTCCCATCTCCTCAAATGCACACATGCTTCTAGGAATGACAAATACCAGCAAAGCATTTATTCCTAAACTGCGAGTTAGTCAAATATATATTGTGTGTTTTTACCTCCCCCTTGTCACTGTCAACTAACTAGTAAAGGAAGTGAACATTTCTTACTCCCTTGCAAAATGATAGGTAGCAATATATTCATATTTTATTTCTGCATGTCTGCTCCAAGACCAAGCGTTCCCAGCAGCCTTTTTTACAGGTTGTGCTGCTGGCTGTGCTATGCGGTAAAATGTTAATTTTGTGATTGATTTGCCATCTGAATAAGAAGAACAAAAATTTTGTCCGGAAGATTTAAACTTTAACGGACATCTTGACATGTATAAAAGACGTACAAAAGTGCATTTTGCATGATAGGTCCCCTTTAAATATGGAGAAGTTGACTAGTTTTACGATCTGTCCACCTTTTCATTGAATTACAAATCATTTAGGTTTTCTCCAAAGAGCAGAGGATAAGAGTAATTAACCTTAAAGATACAAACAAAAACAACAAGAAAAAAAGCAGATACAGTCACTTTAAATAAACCATTAATGTTGGGCTAATCCCGTTCAGTCCTATTGTTTTAATAGAATTTTCTTTGTAATTTAGCCATGGTACAAGTGACGGACGATATGTAGACTGTCCTGATATCAACGGGGAGCTAATTCCACTATTTATACAAACACACACACACACACACACACACACACACACACACACACACACACCTCTTCTCTCCCTGTTCTCCTCACACTGGCAGTCGTAGAGAGAGTTTATGGGTCTGTGTGTATAAACTGAATTCCCATGAGGCTCGTAATGCTTTCCGTTTTGTCTCCGACCGTAACGAGCCCTGGAGGTTCTTCCTGCTAACTCATCAGATCAGCAGGTGATCAGTGTGGAGTCATGGTTTCTGTTCTGAG